CGTTCAGTGTTCATTTTATTCGCTTGCTTGTGCGAGGCGCGGTTGCTGTGATTCTACCACTTTTGTTCGTGTTGGAATGTTTTGAATATTTTATGGATTGGATGGATTTTATGCATACATTTCGAGTGAACCATTTCAAAATCATGCTAATGTTCATTTTGAATTTTTAAAATAATCCTTTTGTTTAATTTTTTGCATTTCTGAACGGGCCATTAGGTTTTGAGTGGTGACTTTTGCAGTATGCTAGTATCAGTTTATGTGATCAGTTGTTTCAATTAGTCGTGGTCGGTACTTAACTTAAACAAGATGTGAAGTTAACATTAAAATTGTGATGTGATGAGTAACCGCTGAAGAGTTTCTTTCGTTCGCCGAGAATTTTGATTGCGAAATCGCTAATCGTAAGAAAATTGTCCGATGACAGTGCATTATTATACGTTGCCTTGTCATTTAAGTCGATATGTTTGGTTGTGTGTTGTTGAAAGATGATAAGCAGACTCTCATTATCGTATGGTTACATATCAGTTGTACTCTATTAGCAAGTCTATGTGGGCTTATGGTTGCAGTCTAGCTGGCTCTTATTTGGTCCGCTGCATCCTGACAATGAGTCTTAGCCGAAACAAAAAATGCATATGGCAAAAATGAACGACGAATTTTATAATAGAGTAGTACCGTAGTGTGTGATATCATCGCGTATATTGTGTAAATTTTTTGATATTATTGATGAGCAATCATTTTGTTGCGCTGGCTGCTCTTTTGTGCGAAATTTCTGCCTTGTCGTAGTACAGCAGCAGTTGCTGCTGTGCGATGAAAAGTATTTTTATTGATCATTTGTGATTGTATTCNTGAGTTAATTGCAGCGCATATCACACTCGCCTCCGTTCAATTTGTCGTTGTTCCATTCCAATTCTCAAATTCATTCCATTGCAACAACACGATGAGAGAAATCGTTCAAGTACAAGCTGGCCAGTGCGGAAATCAGATCGGAGCTAAGGTTGGTTGATTTTATCCATTATCAATGTTTGTTTTATTTGCCAACTGGTGGGCTCTTTGTCGAAGAAAAGTTGCTTGCTAATCGTGCGCATAGTGCATTATTCATTCAACTGATTCCAAACTTGTTTTTGTATGCAGCAGTGTGTTTGCGTTTGAAATTTTCAATTTACAATACAATAAGTTCAGTTCTGGGAAGTGATTTCCGATGAACACGGCATCCAACCGGACGGTCAGTATGCTGGCGAATCGGATTTACAACTTGACAGAATTGATGTCTATTACAACGAGGCTCATGGTAAGCTTAAGAAATCGTTTTCAAATTCTAAATGCGGATTAAATCGTCAATAAAAATCCACTTTTTCAAATTCTGAATGAGAAAAGATGCGAATCACCAAACAGCGTCGTCCATTCTAACAATAAGAGTTTTATTTTCATAAATCGGATATTTTTTGCAAGCAGTCGATCGTACATTCTAGAGGGTTCAGTGCCGGCTTTGTCTAGTAGTACGGAGGAAGTTATGAAATAGAACTTCAGGAACGACCTTGATCACGTCATAAAATCCATATTGCTATTGTGGTGGTGAATGAAATTTACGGTGGGAATAAAGTCAAACAATTACTATTGCTTTGTTTGGTGAACTGTCGTATAAAGTAATTAGCCCTATTCACAATCAGTGAAGAGAAATTGCATCGGCAAATAGTTTTGAGGTGTATTTCTCGTGATCGCCATTACCTCGTGCGATTCCATTCCTAGGGAAATAATGAATAACTCTTTTGAGGACGCTGAAATGCATGCTTGGAGTTGCATGTATTCTTTTATGTTCACTTGATGATCAGTAATGAGACAGGTTGTTATTAAGGTGGTAAATACGTTCCACGATGTGTCCTCGTCGACCTCGAGCCAGGAACGATGGATTCGGTTAGAGCCGGAGCATACGGCCAACTGTTCCGTCCCGATAACTTCATTTTCGGCCAGAGCGGAGCAGGCAACAACTGGGCCAAGGGTCACTACACGGAGGGCGCTGAACTTGTGGATCAGGTGTTGGACGTTATCAGAAAAGAAGCTGAAGGTTGCGACTGTCTTCAGGTGACATTCTCATTTCAAGCTTGTCTCAGCCATTTAGTATTTTCTCCGATTAGATTATGTGTACATGGAGATCTGATTTCTCAATGTTTTTACCACAAACATAAGTAAATAAAAAATTACTGGTGAGCTTTAGAACGTTCGTAAAACTCGGATTTTCAGGGCTTTCAACTGACGCACTCATTGGGCGGCGGTACAGGCTCCGGAATGGGTACACTGATGGTGTCGAAAATTCGTGAAGAATATCCGGATCGTATTATGAGCTCTTTCTCCGTTGTACCATCACCCAAGGTAATTCGATTTTTATCTCGGTTTTGTGAAAAAAAGATACTTCGTTTTTATGTTAACAGCATTCATCGCGTAATTAATTGAATCGTCAAGGAACTATTAGATTTATGTCTTATTATGTCTTCATTTGATAACAGGTTGTAATCGTGGTTCGTAGATTATATTCAGTACAGTTGGTATCTCGTTCAGGTGTCCGATGTTGTTTTGGAACCATACAATGCCACTCTATCGGTTCACCAGTTGGTTGAAAATACAGATGAAACATTCTGTATCGACAATGAGGCACTCTACGATATCTGCTTCAGAACACTCAAGCTCAGCAATCCGAGTTACGGTGACCTCAACCATCTAGGTATCATTTTATAAAATTCACAGAATGTTGAAAAGTTTACTTAAGTCTCTTGTTTAGGTTCACAGACTTAGTTTGCCGAAATCAAATTTCATACACTTTCTTTGGGTTAATGAAAACATTCATTTGATTGCAGGCACTTTCAAAAATTTGGTTGCGTATTTTAATAGTATTTTAAGATATTGAGAACGCATCATAATTTGATATTCAGTGTCGATGACAATGTCCGGGGTAACGACTTGTCTTCGCTTCCCGGGACAGCTGAATGCGGATTTGCGTAAACTGGCCGTAAACATGGTGCCATTCCCTCGACTGCACTTCTTCATGCCTGGTTTCGCCCCTCTCTCAGCCAGAGGTACTGCCGCGTACAGAGCGCTTACAGTTGCTGAGCTCACTCAACAGGTTTCTGTTGCGATCATCCCTTTACTTCTGACGTTCTCTGCGATGTTATATTCGCTATTTTATGAGTGACTTTTAAGGTATTCGATGCGAAGAACATGATGGCAGCTTGCGATCCACGCCACGGAAGATATCTGACTGTGGCCGTGATGTTCCGAGGACGCATGTCTATGAGAGTATGTGATTGATACGTGTT